CATGAAGTACAAGTGCCCAGGTATTTGCACGACCTCAAGCCACAAATGCAGACTCGAGGAAATGAGACTTCGTCTCCAGCTGATGCCTGTGGACCCCTCGCAATACAAGCCTGTGCTAAGCTGCCGGCTTCGATGAGCGACCCAAAGGCAAACTCATTCAAGCTGCTAGCCCTGCACATGCGGTCAGACGGACCAACGGGCATCTGAAACCCTCAAAAGCTGTTGTGTCCAAGGCTCCAGGGAGATGTGATAACCACCAGCGAGAGGCCCAGCAGCTGGCATGCCATGCCTCAAACCGTTTTCCGGGGCTTTCTGATAAATCACTCGAGTAGAACTAAGTCCTCAATGATCGCATAACAGCAGCTGCACATCACCAGCTGGCAGCAGAGTTGCTGCTTACCTCCATCTTTAGCAGGACCTCATCGAAGCAGGGACCGCAACTGATTGAAATCACTGGGTCCCTGTGACATACCTGTAGCGGTTTTACAGCAGAGGCTGAAGCTGACTGGTCCCTGTCGTCATACGGTCGTGTCGAACTCAAGACAAGGATGACTGCGGCACATATGCCCAGCAGACCTGAGCAGGAGCCACTCTCTTTGAAGACACCATGGGGGTGGGTGCAGGATAGGCGACCCGTGGAGGAAAATGCATGTTTCGTACTACCTGACAAACCTATAGAGGGTGAGGAATCAGCCCACAGTGAAATCTGTTCGATCAGTTTTGGGGGCTGGTGGAGTTTTCTGTTCACAGGCGGCGTGGCAGCAACCGAACAGTTGCACACATATGCTCACGGGTACACACAGGTACACAAATCGACTGCATCACTCCAAGAACAGCAGAAGGCGGAAGAGTTTTTTTCGGCAAGTAAACAGGCCTACTAACCCTTGGAACTTTCTGCCAATGGCAAGACATTGCCGAAGATGCATCAGCACCTGTAACTTGGGCCATCGTCAGCCGAGAGGCACTGGAGGCGCAAGAACACGCTCAACGTCCGAACCGCAGATATCACAACAGCTGCTGCCTCGGAAGCGAGGCAACAAAATAGTTTATCACGCCTTGATGACCTCTTATACATTGCCATTCGTGGCCCAAGTCCTGTCCAAGCCACGAGCACGAGTAGCTTCACAAAGCTGGTGTACAAATACTCTGGCCTGTCAACATCTATGTTCCAAATTTGCACAAGGTGTGCATGTAACATCATCACATGGGCTGCTGACTTCCCAGACATCTTGGTTCAGCCAAGTTGTGTACTCCGCTTTTGACCGTACCGATTGGAATCATCTGATGGCTCCAGCCTTGAGCCGTGCAGAAAATATCCAAAGGCTCTCTCTGCCAACCAGTGCTCGGAGTGCCTTGCACGAGTGTGTGGCAGCAATGCGCAGAAAATCTCAGGCTGCGAGTACCACTCTCGTGCAGGTCAGAAGTAGCTACGTTTGTTGCAACCTGGCTCGCAAACACTTTTGACACGAAGACGAGTCAGGTTCGACTAATTGTTGAGAAGATATCAGGGAAGCCACCTGGCCAGTGACAAAATATTTGCAGTAAAGGTGCATGGTATGCACAGCGAACAGCATGCCGCATGGGAGCCTTGGCCACTACACACCCACTCGCACATTTCCCAATGGTGAGCTTGAGGCTGCTGCGCAAACCCATATATAGCCAGTCCTGAAAATCGCGCGACTGGGAAAATCATCGCGCAGTCTGCTAAACCCTAAAAATAACAACAGCAGCGATGCCTCCTATGGCAAGAATCATCCAGGGTTGATGAGACGGGTCGTCACATTTGAGACCCTGGCATCGACACCCCATGGCACAAGGGAAATCCTGATATCCGAGCACTGTTGCGGAAAAAAGTGTCTTGAAAAGTGATTGTAGAACAACCGGGCTTTTCTTTAGCTGTGTTCTTCAACGTATACTTCCAAGTTCTCTTAGGGGGCCATATACTCTCCTCACAATTTATAAGTGCAATAAGCAAACATTAACTACCTCATATGCTAGCAATGAGCTGGGCCCCACCAGGTCCGACAGCAGCACGGTCACCTCACTGAGATCATCAGGAATCAGGACACACTTCAAATGCTTCAGCTTGCTTCGGCCCTGCTTCGGTGAGCCCGCGACAGGCCGCGGATAATCCACTGTGGACACAGCACTGTCCTGTCAGATTGCTGCAGATGACTACGCCTTACACGCGCCAATGCAGGAAGGCCATGGAAGGCCTGTGGGTCGACACATAGGACGGCACCGAGCATGTTGTACAGCGACATGGGTAGCAACCTGAGCTGAATCAATACAAGCCAAGCATGAGATGCGCAGCATGCGAGGCGAGAAGCAGGTGGCACCAGATCATTCCTGCCTCAGACACGCTTGCAAAGAGCCTGCAGCGAAGCTTAAACGGAAAAAGCAGAGCAAATACGACAGATCATGAAATTGAAATCCAACCTCTTGAGTGTTGGTTTACTTGCCGCACCGAACCTCAGAGCCGGCAAAGCCCGTGCTCAGACAGCCCAGAAAGGAGCCATGTGATGCCATCTCTGCAGCAACGGCACTCCATGCTGTGTGTGTGGTGGATGGACTTGCCTCTCAGCTGTAAAGCAAACGCTTCCTCGGTGTCTCAACTGAACGCTGGCAGCCTCGACCCCGCTTCACCTCGCCTCAGCAGTCAAGACCAGCAAATGTGTAATGAACAGAAAAAACAGTGAGTCGCCCACCATAATCTTCGTCGTCAAGAACGCCCTGTTTGAGGCATTGGCAGGCCAGCGCTCGCTCTGCTGTTTAGACGCTTGTGGGATGTCGGGTAAGTGCAGTTCAGCCTGACTACAGCAGGTCTGGAACAGCAACGGGGCGACAATGAACCTCGCCGTCATAACCCGCATCCCGTCCAGCACTTGAGGCAGTGACCTACACTGGGGGCAGGACTCCCACGTGAATAAAATCACGAAGGAAGCCGTGAACACCAGTGGCAGGATACAAAATCCAATGAGCACCTTCACCTGCACACACTGCACATTCCAACAACAAGCCTTTTTAGACATCTGCCGAAAAGCCTCAGTGAGAACACATGGCCACCATGGTTCCCCGCCCAATCCCTGAATACAGCAAGCTTATTCCCCTGCTGAATGCACAAGGGGACAACCTCTTTGAGGTGTTGGTTCGACATTCCCCGGCAACAGCGTTGCGATCCCCTGGCCTGGTACGGCTTCCACTGGGGTATGAAGCAACTGACTGGAACTTCTGCGATCGGATCCCTCAGCTCAGTCTCTTATGCAGCTGATACCCGCCCATACCGGACAAGATGGATTGCGGGCAAAGGCTCAAGATCAGTGATCCAACCAGCCTGAAGTACTCCTGGCTCGCATCAACTGCTGCCGCTGGCAATTCCAGGGGGGTACACTCTGGGAACACAGCAAGCCCGCCTGTGTGTTGGGCATGTAACTTGCCAGAAAAGTGGTGTCCATGGTCTGCAAGAGGACAGCTTAAAGTCATGCAGGAGACTGGTGCTTTAAGCATGCATGTTTTGCATGTCGTGCACATCGACAGACAATCATGGCCTTCGCTGTGATCGCAGTAAACTGAAAGTAATTCATCAAGGACCTTTCCGGTTTTTAGGTCATCAGGGCTCACAACTCGTGTCGAGACCACACAAAAGAGGCACCGCATGGACCTGGCCTCAAGGCCAGAGCAGATGTGGAGGAAAGCGAGAAACCTCATCTTCACTACAACGTATGTCTCCCTGCTTGCACAAACACTTGTAACCATGAAGCCAAGAAGCAAGCGTTCAAGTGAGATACCAGCAAACACACGAATGCCAGAAAATAGAGGCCTGCACGCGAGCGGTGAGAGCTGAAGGAAAAAGGCCAGTTCTGTTCGTCTAGCAGCAAGTAATCAGAACTGCGGCCGGAGGCACATACGCCGACGATGATCCGGTGCCACTTTGATCTCCACTCATCCTCACCTAAAGAATCTTACAACTCTGTGCCGCATTGAATTATGGCAATGTCAAGGGAGTCAGGATCCGGGCAAGGCCGACAGGGATCTGGATCCATTGCAGCTCGGGTTTGATCCGACACCCAACCTGCGCATCTCCAGCTACATGAGTCAAGATATTCAAGATAAGGAAAGGAAAACGTACTAAAGCAAAGCGAAGTGATGGAAATGCATGCTCATGCAAGCGCGTGCCTTCAGACTAAAGGTGCACATGAAACGCTATGTACATTGATTTGAAACTTTTCTGTCGGACCCTTCCTTGATATCAGACCGGCTTCGCTGAACCTACAACCGACAGCGCTGCAGGGATCCAACAAAACAGCACCAGTAAACAGACCATCAACAGCATACAAAACAAAGACGGAAAGCACACCCTCTACTTTTCGCGTGCGCCCTCCGCATGTAGGCTCGCTGCCCGACTTGCTCTGCATCAAGCAAGGAACCAAAAACACTGCCATTTTTTTGGCTGCCCTCGCAACCCTGCCCCAACCCCCAAAGCCTGTGCATACGCTATGCCACGAAGCTCTAGGCTCATCCCCTTGCACGTGAAATGACAGCAGACACCCCGGCCTGACTTGCAATGCCAGCACATGGCTCCTGAACCTTGGCCATGAAAGCTTAGAGATTGTGAACTTCGGGAAAATGAAAGAACCCAGAATAGGAAAAACGCACCATCTTGTTGCCAAGCGACTGTTGCCCAGGCATACGTTTTCACCTGCAGCACGGGCGCACACACAAGCAATGCCAGCGGCTGTCCACGGAGGACGGCGCCTAAGCAGCGACCCTGGACATCGCAAGGAAGCAGCAGGCCGTGCAGGTAGTAGAAGTTGGGTGCCTCAATTGCAGATTACATGCGAAGCCATATTTCTTGCGAAATTTGCAAACATGCGCAGACAGCTCCAATCGGCTCCAATTGTTTGCGTCCATCTTTCTCTCGCGTCGCGTCGACAGCACCAGGCTGATATGCAACTTGTGTAACAACGCCAGCTACAGGATTTGCACATCCGCTTGGCGGACTATTTCAGAACACCGAATTGGAACATGATGAAACTGGCGGTTGCAAGCCCGAAAAGGACAATCAGACAGAAAGTGATGTAGCCAAAGTGTTGGAACACACCACCTCGCTTGGTCTCGAATCCCCTGACGGTTGCGTGCATGTGCTGGATCCTTGGCAAAGATTGGCGTAAAGAGAAACTCGAACAGATCAGCCCCATCAGTGCAGCCGCGAGCGCTCGGAGAGAAAGATGGTACCCACTCGTGCCGCAGGGCTGCACAAAGTGCCAGCAGAGGCCTGGAGGATGAAACATCTTGAAACAGTCAATTACTGCTATCACTAATATTGTTACTGAATATTATTACTATAATTACTACTATGAGTACTACTGATATTATCATTCTCATTATCAAAGTCTCACTATTAGTTCTATGAGAACTATTATTGATATTGTTGCTAATATTGCTTTTGAACTGGCAGCGAAGCTCAGCTCCATCGAGGTAGCGGCGAACTTGGAGATCCAGCCCATGACATTTCCTACCATCTCAGACTTGATAGCAGAGCCAATAGTAATGATAGTAGTAATAGTAATCATAGTAGTACTGATAACAACCAGTAATACTCATAGTAGTAATGATAATAGTAACAACCATTAGTAATAATCGTTGCTTGCCTTGAAATGCTGCCTGCTTTTCCAGCAAAGATGAACCATTCCCCACCTGAGTAGTGTTTTTTTGGTTGTTGAACCTAGTAACATTATATTCCTTACATAAAATACTATACCCCAAAATTGGGTACCATAGTCCCCAAATACCTGGCTTGGCATCTGCAAAATCAAACCGCACAAAGGAGACGTTGCCGCCAGGTAGCTTTTGGCGCCGGGGGGCTGTCTGCTTGCACGTCTTCCACGATGCCCCAAATTTCGCTGGCCTGACCGACACACCAAACTGGCCTGGGCGTGGCGTGATGCAACCTCACACCCAGCCTTGTCCACTTCGTTCTGAATCTCTTGGCTGATCTTGAACTTAATCTCAGCCCCCCTTAGATGTCATCCACGACAATGCATGAGCAGCAACACCACCCAGGAGGTTTATCCTTTGAATGGGTAGGAAAGGACTTTCCTGTTTGTTGGCATCTTATCATGTTGGCTTGGGTTTTTTCCCAGCCAATCGCATAGAGGGTAAGGTGAAGATCTACTATGGAGAAGTGGTTGTAAGACAAGCATTATGACATGAGATGTTTCTTGGCAAGTCAAAGGCTACCAGCGCCATCATGGGCTCCGGACTCAAAATCTGCATGGCTGTGCCGCTGCTGGTGCCTATAGCTGCCAGCGTTGCAAAACGTCTTCTTGCATTCGAAGCGGCTTTCTGTCTGCTTCTTCAGCCAGGATGACTTGGGCTTTGCTGAGGCCTGTAAGGCGATGCGCGCGGGGATGACTGAAGGGATCTGAAATGCTGACGCCGAGCCACCATTTGTCAAAAGCTGCTTCACTTTAAGCGCTGCATCCTGCAAGCAGGCGCTCTTGATGCCAGGGAATCTTGCATGGAGTTCCAATGTCCACCCTCCTTGAGCTGCAGCAGCAGAGGCTTCAAGCCTCCAGTTTAAGCACAGCTTCCGGTACAATCATTGAATCGCCCTGTTCTCCCGGGCATTTTGGCCTTGAACGAAGGCAACGAAGTGGTCCGCCAGCTTACGCACTGCCAGAACGACCTTCGGGAAGGCTTGGAAGAGTTTCCTCAGCTGTTCCAAGGCAAACGCGAAGTCCCGACTTTGCTGCACCTTGCTGGGCTGGTAGACTTGCAGGAGTAGCATGAGGCTACATCTCTGTTGTTGCACAATTTTTCACATGTGGTTGTGTGGGTCAAGTTTCTGAATGTCTTTGATGCCGGCCCCGCTAGGTCCGCAAATCCCCTTTCAGAGTGTCTTTATCCTCTGAGTTCTGCAAGGCATGCTGCACTCTGCTGCTGGCAAGACTCTCAAAAAGCAGGCGAACATCCTCGAGAAGCTCGGGCTTACCCAGGACGTTCACAACCTCAGCTGCTTGGAACAAAGATTGCAGTCTGGAGCTTGCTTAAGAAGTTTTTGGGGCATACTTGAACAGCCCAAGATAAGGGCAAACGCCCAAACTGATCTATGTCCACACAAAAAACTATCCTTCGGCGATCTTTTTCCTACTTGCATGCCTGCCTATGAATTGCTCGTGGCTTCAGCAATACCGAAAGTAAAGCAACATGCGCGCCAGCGGACTGGCAGCAACGAAACAAAGAGGATCGATATCTTCCACGAAAACAAGAATCATAACGGCGGTGACAAAATGAAATCCTGCTAACTTCCACAATGGAAAGAGGAAAAGCAAGAAAGACTGTACCCCTAACAATAACAGCATCAAGAAAAGAAAGGAACCTAGAGTGGGTCGAACATTCGGTGCGGCGCAGCGTCAATTTTAACGGCAAGGTTTGGTTCTAAGGCTCCCAGGACGTGGGTCGAAGTTTTGGCCCGGCGCAGTCATGAGTCGACAGCGCGTCGGGCAAGGCTCATGACAACGATGGTAGTTTTTGACAATGCAATAGGGGCATCATTAATGGAATGAACTCAATCATAATGAAGGTGACAACAAGAAGTCTCAATCATACAAGCAGTAGCAACGAATGGGTTTAACAGGAATTGAGACAACTTGCGAGGACGTTGGAAGAAACTAGGAAATGGGTTGAAACAAAGTGTCGAAGAAATTCAGAAACAACCGGCAAACCTTTGAGATTGGCACTGCAGGCACAACTTGAGGGTTGAACAAGCAAATGGGAAGGTACTTGGAGAAGCAACGAGAAGTGGAAGAGTAAACTGACATAAACTAGAAAGGAAACTTCCCAAAAGTTTCAAAGACAGCCCCCTTCAAAGCCCCCCTTAAAGTAGGAGTTTGAAAAGGGGAATTCTGCCCCCGCGCCCTTCTCAAGCCACTTTTCAAGTTCCTTCTGAAGCCCCCATGAGAAGCCCTCCGATCTGTAGCCCATTGTCTTCCCCTCTTCAGCCCACCTTTGACCCTTTCAAATTCGAGTTTGAGGAAGCCGTTCCTTGCTCAAGCTGCCCTTCGTCAATTCAAGCAACTCATGTCCAGGTATGATCTGTTCGCATTGTTTGGAGGGGACTCAAATTAATTGAATTCATTTCTGGGTGAAGAAGAAAGGCTTAAGAAGGGACTTGAAACGCCCTTCGAGAATTCTTCTTGGAGTTCTTGAGTTCAAGTTGGAGGGGGCTTTGAAGCGGCTTCAAGAAAAATCGGCCCAGAATTGCCAAACAATCTAGACAAAGTGTTGAACAAGTTTCCACAAATAGACCGAAGTCTCGTTCATCTATTCGCAAGTCCGTCCTTATTTTTTGGCTGGATGTGTTCATCATCTTTTCTGTCCTGTAGGGCGAAGAACCTGTACTTGTTTCCATGTTATTTCCCAAGGCGTCCCTCAAATCTGACTGGCTCCCAGGAGTTTGTCCCTCATTTCTTCCCAATGTCTCTGAAGTTGCTCCCCTCTCAATCTCCATTTACCCGGGCATCCCTCTTCCACGATTTCCCTCCATCCTCTCTAATTCCCCTCCTTTATGTATCCGAGCTATCTTGACTTTGATTTAACTCAGCCCCATGAGATTCATGTATGATCTTTTCTTCGTCGTTTGGACAAATGCCAGAGCTTCGCTGCAACTCACTCGCAGCCGCATACACTAAGATACTTCCCGTTAATTATCTTTTGAAAAAGGCTTCCTGGGGCTTGAGAGTCCCACAAGTCAAAATTCAAAAGTCAGAAGAACGCCAATGCAGCCAGAGCCCAGGAGCGGAATTCGACACCAGGAGAAAAAAAAAAAAAACGAGAAGCCAAAGAGCCCAGAATCAACTGAGCAAATGAAAACAAATCAAAATC